TAACGCTTTACCCAGGAAAGGGATGATTTGCTGTCCAACAACAACAATAACCACCTAACCACGCGGGCGATGTCATGTATATAGTGGATACTGATCATTTGTACGTAGGCCAGAAGGTATCGTGGTATGCCTAGGTACGGGTTAATACAGAGCCAGCTACGTGCGCCCGTCAGTCTTCTTCGCTCTGTCGTAACACCGGGTCCAGATGGGGAAAGAGGAGAGGGTGCAATGGATGCAGCCCCAGTCAACTATTACCAAAGACTAATTCGCGCGCAAGTTACCGTTCCTGCGCGCATCCTGCTGTGAGGCGCATGTTGGTTGTCACGGTAGAACTGTCATTCAAACTAACCTTCACCAGCAGATATTTTGTCCGTGTTGCCTATTGGATCATGCGAATTCTCAGGCACCAAATCACGCACTTGGATATTCGCACCATCTCCACCGATCATGACACTGACTTCTGGTCAACAATTCGATTGCCAGAATCCGACACAGTAGCAGGCAGCTCTAGCATCTTAATTTCTCTTTTACTTCTATTATAATAGAATTTATAGTGATTATGCAGATATGGCATCACATAACCAGTCGAACAGAAGACGAACCAAACATTAATGGCATGGACACTTGTCGCGCCTCATCCGCACGCAGCTGAAAGAAGCAATCGCCAAAATGGGTGTAACTGCTACCTTTGCTCTTACGCATAACTCAGATGACCACGGGAGATGAATTTTTTGCTCGTCTTCACTAGACTATCCGCTATTGTTCTCAACGATATTTACCTGGCTTCCTATGTTCGCATTGGGTTAAACTGAACCTACCATCAACGAAGTCTTTAGTGGGTTTTCTATCGGTAATTGAGTCGATAGTGGCGACCAATGTCTGGGTTTTGCTGGCACCAGATTCCACCGTTCACAAGGGCCATGCTAAATTGGTACCCTAATGACGGGTGGACCTCCTCACAGATTGACTTTATCGTTGTGTTACCTGCTACCCTCTGCTACAGTTCAGTACGTGAAGTAAAGACAGCGTACAAAACTCAGATTGCATGCATGCGATCCTGTATTACTCGTACTTGGTACGGCTGTGATCATGTCTGATCTAGTCAGCTTCGATTATGTCCCGGATTGTACTTGTCCACGCGTGATGACCCATGGAAACAGACCTAGACAGTTCAATTAATTCTCCGTCAACTTCAGAAGCTGAATACCGAAGGTCCAATAACCACTTTTATGTCTCGACGAATTGTGCCGAGCCAGATTTTGAGCTGCCCGCCTCTTTGACTTCTGTACTTGAGTAATTGGTTCGGCTCGGGTGCAGTAACACTAAATTCGTGAAGTTGACGACGAAGAAAGTGTCCAACCCACGTCTGTTGCCCTTCGTGGATGGCCTTAGCTATCGTTGCGATGTAGCAGCGAGTACGGACTGTCTCATTTGAGATGACGTCGATGTACTCCACCCGAAGTATGTTCCTCAAGCAATAGTGTTCAAATACCTCCAGCTTTCTTTCATCCTCAACGCGCATAGCCAAGCGTTCAGAGCCGTAGAGAAGGGCAGACCGAACTTATGGATGGTACACGCGAACCTTTGTGGCAATTAATATCGAGCGTCGGGTCCGTAGGCATTTTATAGGGCTTTAGAAAACTTGACAAGTTGCATCTCTTCGGGAGATAATGTCATCCTTACTCTGTCCATTCGGCAGTATCCTCTCTCCAAGGTACTTAAAACTGTCCACTTCTTCAAATTGGTAGCAGCTACTCTCGAGAGGTGCATTCTCTTGGGCAGAGATGCAGCATTAAGACACCTCTTGGTCTTCTTAGCGTTTATAAACAAACCTACTGATCTAGCGACTCCGTTCAGTGTATGATCTGCACTTGCGCCTAAAGCCAGTCACAACAGTCTTTTCGCCTCAAAAAAGTTTGATGTCCACAAATTTACGTCTGATTAAACGGTCAGCGATCTCTACCGGGACGCTACTCACTACCTTGTTTTGCTAAAGAAGTGGGACACTCCAATGTGAACGGAAAGCGGACTGAGGAGGAGACTTGATCGCTGGGACAATACTTTTATTCGCCTGCCGTTTCGGGATCCGCCACGGATTCGTCATCAGAGATATAGTCAGATAGGAGCAACGGAGCGGACTCTAGTCTGGACTGGTATCACTGATGCCTCGCTTTGGCGCTTGGACCACAGCGGGTAAAAACCTGGAAATTGGATATCAATCATTCGGTCGGCAATGACGCACGAGCTCGTCGAAAACTAATCCGTTATCATAAGACACGTTTCGTGAACACCTACTGAAATCGATACTCGCAGAATATGGCGCCGGAATTGGAACCAACCTCCACTATCGGCTACCCAATTCCTTCGGCCCTCGTGTCAGGACAGTCAAGTCAAAAGGGGCTCCTTTATTACTCCACCGAATGTGTGATTTCCGCACCCACAAAAGCCCTCTCCCGAATTGTTCAATCTGCCGCATCTGGATGCACCCAGCCTGACGTCTACTGAAACTGCTCCCGGGAAGCTCCCTATGGCTGACTGCGCATCACTCGGCTCCTGAAATTCAAGT